AGCTCGTAGATGGAGCATTAAATTGTTTTGAAATCGATTTTCTTGCATAATCTTATCATACTTTTTAAATAAATTATTTTGATTACACTGTGTGAAATAAGCTCAATGCAGTCAATTAAACATCCTCATCAAGTGGCAAGACATCCTCTAAGTGCAATGAACAAGTTGTGTCCAAGAGTTATGAACTCAGCAGCTTGACTCTTTTATTTGCTCAAGAAAAACATGACATTAAAGCAGCTTCCTTTCTGAAATCAGCTGCAAAAAGCCACCTGTGGGACCCGAGTATAAGTATTGGTTTATGTCAGACCCCTTCCAATTGTCTAATTACTCAAAGGGCAGTTGATGATGAGCTGTTGAACCTTCTACCGGTTTTGGTCCTTAGGGACGGCCATCAGCTGTCATAGACTGTGTGTCTGTTCAATAAATGCCACACATATTTCCTGTTTGTGGGCACTGAGGAAAATGTCAAGCTAATGGTGTCACTTGACATAGGGGAGGAAGCCACACGTGTTTTCCTTCTTCACCATCCACCCTCAATATGGAAGCCATTTTTTACCATTGATCTCTTCTCTTGTGTAAACTTTCCACACTCTAGCAGGAACATCGATTCACAGTGGAAGGAAACAAAGTATGTATTTGTGTTAGCTAAATGCTTGATGCCATACTTTCAGATGATAATGGCCATGGACACCTCCTTGCACACATTCATAAGCATAAACAAAAACAAAGGAGTGAAAAGGTTCTCTGTGTTTGCCAGGGGCTTACATTATTTGAGCAGCATGATCCTCTCAGGGGAAATCTGATACAGCCTGTAGGGGAATCACTTCACTCATTTTTCCCACAATTCAACAGAGACACATGGGGCAAGCATTGCTCCCTCCACCCCACTGGCTCCCCTTTCTCCCCCCATCGCCCACAGGAAGTGAGCCCTCTTATCAATCCCCTCATTATCCAAACCCACTGCCTGCTGAAGACAGTTAGAAGGTCATCAGATGGAGCCAGAGACTCATGCACAGGGGACTAATGCTCAACAGTGGAGCTTGTCCTGGGATGCAGAGCATTCTGTGGGAGCTCCGGGTGTGTTGCACGCAAGCGGATGGGCGCGTGATGACAGGTTTGCCGATGGGCAAGTGGAGAGATGCAGCTTTGTAGGTTTCAAGCCATTGCACAGAATAAATGACTGACTGTCACTGCTATGAAGGAGCTGGATTGTGTCTTGCAGAGAATTGTATCTTTAAAGAGTTTAGGACTTTCTTTATATTAAGTGCACTGCAAAAAAACGGTGACCTAAAAATGTTAACAACTAAATTAGCTGGTTTTATTCAAGTTCAATGAACCAACCTATATACATTCATTTATACCAACTAATTTGTATATGTTAAATCTGTTTTTTACATTGTAGTCATATTTAAGAAATGCTTGCGTGTAGTTACACTGAAAAAGATGGTAACCTGAAAATGATGACATCTAAATGAACCGGTTTTATTCAAGTCAAAAACATTATTTAACATCACTGAAACAACCTATATACATTAATTCATACCAACAAAACTATTTTTTATAGATTGAATCAAGTATAAATGGCTCTTTAAGGTAATAATTACAGCTTTTAATTAATTTCCATATTTACATCGATAATTACATTGTCGACCCTACCACCCACCCCTAAACTTAACCATTCAACAAAACTTGTCTCTAACCTTAACTGCATCCCACCTTAACAGATGCAAAAGTGTTTTGCAATTCAACATGAGCACAATAAGTACATTGTACCAACCAATTAATTTTCAGTTCAAGTTAAAGACACCTAATATAAAGTGAAACCATTAGTAGTAGCAGTAGAGGAATTATTAGTATTATTATTATTTGGACATATAATAAATTTCCTTAATTACTCAATAATTGTCTAACACTTAGTTTATGCACATCCAAATTATTTTCATATTTAATTACTCCAAACTTTTAAAGAACATAGATACATACTGTAACTTGGTTACATTTCAGGATAAAACAATGGATGTAGGATGGGATAAAATTCTGTTTCCCTTTTTAAAACCAATATCCTGGGGCACATAAACTGTCAGAACCAAGTTTAAAGCTTCTACATTATCTCAACTGTATTTGCACACCCACATGTTCACCCACTGGGAAATTATGTGTTGTGCTCCTCTTTAAAATGTCTCTCATTTCCATTCCAAAGTGACACTGCCAGATTTGCAGCCAGCATGTCTACAAAGCGAGCATCTTATACGTTTTTAGAACATTATAAAGCATGTCGCCTTTTTCTTCCCCTCTTTATCAAAGGTAAATGCTCAGCAGATGACAGTCCTCCTACCTCGGATTGCAGGCGGAGAACCGGGGCTTTCCCAATCCTCTGTGGTGAGATACTTCTCGTGCTCTGCCTACTCAGCCCACCAAGGGATTGTCGATGCTTCCTGATTGTACGGGCTGCGTGGTGATTTGGTGTGAATACATCTCTGTTTCTTAGTGACATGGAGAAGGAGGAACAGATGAGTTAAATGGAATCATTTTATTTTACATCACATCAAAAATATTGGGGTAAGAGCAAAGACAATAGACAGTATCAGCATTTGTCACGCTATGAAATAATGTTCTAGTATGAAATTACAAGTACAAAATAAAAAATATAGAGATTTCACAATCTTGTAAGTCTTCTGACCTTCTTTTACCAAAGAACAACCTGTGAACAACAAAAGAAAGAAGGTTTAAAACCTACATGCAAAAATCATTAAGACGGGACACCTTTTGCTATAGAGATGACTTGGGAAAAATGTTCCAATTATCCTGAATTCAGATTAAATTAACAAGATTTAACAGGATTTTAAAACCATTTCCGCCCCACAGCTAAGAAAATACTATAGTAGTGTCCAGTCAAAATCAGACTGTCCTAAATAAAAGTCAAAAATTGCTGAATATAAACCAGCTTTCTGGCAAAGTTGATTACTTTAAGAAACAAAGTGATTTAAATGTATTGTACAGTCTAGATTTGCATCACTTAAGCATATTCCATTTTTATAACTTCTAATTATTATTTTTATTCTCTATTTTCCCTGCTGTTTTTAGTCCAGATTTAAATGAAATAGATAACTGGAAAAAATACTACATTTGTTTCCCACTTGAGCAACATTTGCGTGGTTGTCTGTTGATCTGAACTTTTTACAGGCCTTGGGGGGTGTAAATGGAGCATGTTACATTTGTGACGTTTGGCCGCTGTTGGAGGCTGTTGAACGGAAACTGATATTAGTGCCAGAGAGTGCATGTAAAATCACATTCGGAATGGATGACTGGTAACTATCATGAGTAAACAAAGGGCTTTGTTGAGCAAGAAAGAAAAAGTTGATTCAAAAGTGCCATGTGTCTGCGCTCCTAAAAGGGGCAGATGTTGCAAATTACCAGCCAGTCTACTGCCTCTGAAATCGCAGCTCAAATGAGCATCCTAATGAGAGGCACTGTTTGCGGGTCAAAGAAAAGCCTAATCACGCTAAGTCAATTGACTTCTTCTGGAGCAAGAGAGTATGCAAGCTCCAAAGCAGATGACCTGCTGTCTGTTGCACTCCTGCAACCTCCTTTATATCTGTCTAATCTTGTTTATGTGGTTTTAATCATCTAGCCTTTTGACTATGATATGACTCTAGTCGACAAGGACAGGCACAGTTGTTTATACACTATTATACAACCATTATGCAATTAAAAAAATCTAATCTGGCTTAATAAATTAGAATGATACAAGAGTGCAATCTATATGATAATTTATATTGTGTTGAACAAGATGAACAACCCTGGTAGACTCTTTAGTAGCTTTTATTTAAATAGGTACATTAAGAATAATCATTTGAGTTGAAAACAAGAGAAAGAGTGCAGCACATAAGGAGTAACTAAGGACTATGAGTGATATGGTAATATCCAAGAGGTGAAATAATTGTAAAAAAAATAAAAAAAATAAAAAACTAACTAAATAAATAAATAACAATAATAATAATAAAATAATAATAATATTTTGTTCAACACTTGTGTGGATTCATGTCACCCTTAAGACGTGCTGTTAAGTTTTGAAATTTTGGGCTTTTTGGCTTTTAGTCACATCAAGAAAACATCAAAAATACACTTTTAATTGTTTATTTTACTGCACTTCATTTATTTGCTTCTGTAGAGATCAATTACAACACATTTTCAAAAGCACTGACATAAATCAAACTTTCCAGTTTTGTCAATTTGTCATCTGCCTGATGTTATACAATATTGTATTCCTAAAAACATGATGGAATGGAAATCTGAAAATCTGGCTTTCTGATTGAAAGAGTGTGGAGTGATAAAAATATGTATCCAAAATACCCTTTGTAAAAAAACGTTGACCCTAATATGTCAACAAAATGAAACAAGAATTTTTAACCTGGCTTTCTGTCCAGATTTCTGTTCTGGAAATGTATGCAAATTAGTGTATATTTACATAGAAAATGTGCATATTTAAACATTCCTGAAAACTTTTAATACAAAAAAATAATAATAATCTTTTGAAAATGTAAATATTTTGTTATTTTTTGTTAGTCTGTTTATTCATTTATTTATTTATGTTTGTTTTGTAGTTATTAATCATAAGTTATGCAAAATGTGGTTATTATATTTATATGAGAAAGAAAGAAAGAAAGAAAGAAAAAGAAAGTGCTGTAGTAGCTATTGTAGATCGTTGGAAACTATGGTTACTATGGTAACTATTTTTAAGGCATTTATACTTTCTAAGGAAGGTTATTTTAAATCTTATTTTAATATAATATTTATTGGACTTGTCTGTGAATTCAAACAACTTCACATAATAGTTAAATCATGTGTTAATGTTAAACCATTTGTTCCGTGGATTATACTGATAGCATGGAAAACATTAATATTATGCTCTATTAGGCTATTCATATGAAGAATGTCCGTAGAGACTAGGGAGCCGTAAAGTGTTTCGGGATGTCGTGAAGTGTGGTAAACGGCTCTGTGTCAAAACACGGAACTGGCGCAATCTTTTGAAACAGTCAAGGCGTTTGTTTGTATTTCCACTTTAATGAACTCTGTTTTCTATTTTCCCGTTTTAACGCACCGATGAAAATATGCTGTTAGGTGCGATCAGAATGGTGATTTAATAATATTGCAGATCTTCACTTTGCATAAACTGTAAGTTCATCGGTATCCAAGGACGCGCTACAGGTCAGGCACAGTCACACACACCCAGCGCACTTTATTTAAACTAGCAGTTGTTCTTAGTTTATTAAAACACCTGTATTAGTGCACTGTTTTGTTATTATCTTATTAGGCACTTATTCATGCTTTATTGTTGCAGTTGGTCATACGATTTTAATGTGTTTTAGTGTATTTTATATCGGATTGTTGTATTGAGTGTATGTTTATTGAGATTTAATGCAGTGTCCATAGAGAGTGTTTGATTAATTCATAGACCCAGATTCACTTGATCTGATTCAACTCCATCTACTTGTTCATCGTGTTATCTGTCTGTCTATCTAATTAATTTTGGACTAGACAATGCTATAAATGAACTTTTCTGTTAGGATCTCAATGGACCCGAAAGACAATGAACGTGTTTTACTCCTCGAGGAAGAGGTGAGGAGTTTGTCTGAAGAACTCGCTCAGTGCCAGGTATATTAAACCATTTGTTATTATTATTATTTATATATTGTCAAATTACTATTTCTTTTGTCTATTCTTCTCTGTCTCAGGCTATAGTGACAATGGTTTTAAACCATTTTTCCACTACTGCAACAGTATACCAATATTCTAAGATAGTCATACCAGAAGCCCATAATAATTTTTTTCCCTTGCAGTTTATTTATTTATTTTTATTTATATATTTATTTATCTTTTTTTTTGGCACAGTTGCGATGTTAAGACAACCCGACTTCCAACATATGGTCTCACTGTACTGAACACTAAAATGTGACTTAAGGATCCTGCATATTGTTAAAGCCCCACCAGGTGGTGCCTAAAAACAAATACCTGCATTGTCAACAGTGTCTCAAACTCAGACTATTATTATAAATAGATTGACACATATTACTAATATATTATCATTTTTGAGCATATAGTTTACTTACAGACATCCTTAACACTGATCCTGATAACTACTAATTGAAAAGAGCCATCAACAATTACTCAGTGGATAGTCTTTACTTACTATACAACAATAAAGAGCTTACTCTGACCTACAATAGGACTACATCATCAGTGGATGTCGACTGACTCTGTCTAGCTTTTTTTTTTTTTATTGCCTGCGGTTCACAATTGATTTTTCTCCATTTCACTTCTAATGACAAGCGTGTATATATAAAGAATCACATATCATTTATGTAAAAGGCGTTGTGCCCATCCATCGACTGCCATTATTACTGCAAAATGTTTCTAGTGGACCTGAGAATTATTTTTACTTTATTAATATTTGTATAAATAGCAACATTCAATGAGTGCACTCATCCAGTGGGCATTCATGGTCTGCTGTATAGATAAATAATTCATCAATACCACTGCCTTTCAACATATCAAACACCTTCCATTCCATGAAAAAATTCCTGTAATGCGCAGGAGTTGCTCAATCTTCTGATGTAGTGAGCTTAAGCGCTTGTGAAGAGACCACCTATTTGATGGAGGACTTTTCTTAATTTGTCATTAAACACAATGAAGGCTAGGAATTGTGAGATCTCTATTTCTATTCATTTGCTCAGTCTCTCTCTCGCACACGCTACTTTGTATGTTTAGCCTATGGTCTATCAAGGTCTGCCTGCACCATTTAGTAAATAATTAATTAGACACTTTTGAATAGGGTTTAAAATTCATGTACTAATTGGACACCAGCAGATTCTGCAGGGATTTATGACTTTAATCTTATAATGATGTGGACATAATTTAACAGATAATTTTATATTAAGTTGATCTGGTGTAATTATGTTTTTTTTATTAATGTCAGAAAATGATGTCTCTCATTAAATGTAATGTAGCTTAAAAATCTTTGAAAGCCATTTTTTTCCCTCCAAAGACACTTTGAATTGTAAGTGTGTCTTGTACAGCTCTCTGCTCCGCCACTTTCTTCTTTAGGCAACTAGTGAGTTCAGATTTACCCTTGTTTTTTTTGTTTTTTTTTGCTTTCCTCTGTTTCTGTGTGACTTTATGAATAGGATTACTCTGATTTAATTTCCCTTTTTTTTTCATTTGTTAGAACAATAATGTTTCATGCATTTGTTTGATCTTCAGTTTCAGTACATCCTGTGATATCATTTACTGTGATCTATCTATCTATCTATCTATCTATCTATCTATCTACATTAATAAGTGAAATGTAATGTCAAACTGCTTGGTGTTTTCTTTGCAAGACTTTCATTATTATAATGAGGCTGTTTCTTAATTTCTGTCATTGACCCTTCTGTGCTGCTTATATAAACAGCTGGCTGGAAATTGCTTATTTGGAAGCTGCTTTTTAAAATTGTGAGCATCGGCAACAAAAATGTTTTGTTGTTTTTGTATTTGCTTCTAATAGACAGACAAGGAGTTTGTGTGGTCGCTTTGGAAGCGACTTCAAGTGGCCAGTCCAGACCTCACCCAGGCAGTGAGTCTTGTAATGGAAAGGTGAGTCACATTGTAAAGTCACCTGTTTTTTGTTTTTTGTTTAAACGACAGCAAATCCTCTGCACCTATTTTCTCAGTCTCTTTCTTCTATTGAATCATTATGCTTTTACGCTTCAGACTTGAAATAAATGCTTTTTCTGCCACATGAAATCCCTGATTTGCGAGCACTGTTGGGTGGCTGCACCGTTGAATGCAGCTATGAGAGAACCCGAGAGCAGATGATGATCTAAACCCTCTTATCCTCCACACAGACTCCCTCCCTCTCTTCTCGTCTAAGGGATCCCTCTTTGAGGGATATATACTAGATTTAACATGACTTATGACCCTCAAAGAGGGTGTGGGGAGCTACAAAAGTGGCATGGGAACGTGTTGTGGGGAAAAAAAAGATTAAATTCGTAATGCCGAACGATTGCCATTGTCATGCCTTTTAAATGTTATTATTATGATGATAAGAGGTGTAGATAAAGCAATATTCGCACTTGGGAGAAAATTGAGGCCACTGGCATGGCTTGGCAATGGCTGTGTATTTATTTACATATTAAATAATTCTTTCCAGCACCTAATGAAAGGTCAGAGATATGGAGCATTTTTTTGTGACCAAAAGCTTGAGCTTAAGCAAATGTGTTCCTCGACTCTAGAAGCGGTGATAAATTAAAGAGCACCAGCCAGGCTACGCTCTCCCATATCCCTCACGAGCTTCTTCCTCAGGCAGAGGCAACAAACCGAGCTGCTCCTCAAAGAACTGGCAACATGCACCTGAGGGCGTGTGCATATATCAGCGTTGTGCCACACAGGAGATTGACATGATAATTGTGCTGACTCTGTGAAGCACACAGGCTACTGGGAATTCTGGCTGGTCTGGTAGCGAGCGAACACTTGGCTTGGGATATGGTTAACATCACCAAGCTTCAAGGCAGTGGTGTTCTCTGAGGAGAGCCGTATCATGTCAGATGTCCTCAGGGAGAGATAGAATGAGAAAGGGTGGAAGAGATTGAAAAAGTGAACCAGGGAAAGGAGGATCCCAGGTGAGTGGCGGCTGTTCAAACAAACTCGCCCCAATTGTGATTCTTTTGTCTTTTCCCCCCAAACACCCACTAAAGAGGGTTAGATCCTGAAAGGAAAGGAGTGTTTGTGTTTCCCCAGTGAGTAGTGTTCCTGTTTTGATATCCTGATAATTACTGATACCTGGAGACTGGAGTTATATCCCATCATTCCCTGTTGACCCTCTGCGGTATAAGCTCAGAGAACGCGCTGAGTGGTTGAAAGGCAATTTTGCCTGTTTCTTCTCCCACAGCATCCAGTCTATCCTGCAGTGTTTTATCTCCTAACCGAGCATCACCGTTGCATCATCCCAAATAGATTTTCAAATGTGAATGGCTGCAGCGTTCACTGAGGCCAGTGGATCGGTTCGCCCTCTTCTGTATTCTGTATTCTGTTACTGTGACGGCCTGCGCCTTTAATTTAGCTCTTTTGTTCAATCTGTGCTGTACTAGAGAAAAGCAGAAAGCTGAGAACAAGGACAGGAAAGTTCTGGAGATCCTTCAAGCAAAAGACTACAGAATCCAAGAGCTGGAGCAGGTACTGTGAGAGCTTTACACAACTTAAACTACACACCAGCCACAGGTGTACAGACATGCATGTGGTCTCAGAAACCTTCGTCTCTCCTTTTTTAATGAGCATCTCTGACTGCTTGATAGATCTGCTTGGATGACAGCTAATGATGAAGCTGTGTTGTTAATTCACCTTTAATCATGCCCCTTAATGAAACATCTGTCAGTCGGCTTCATTCGGAACTCTGTCTCTTCACCAGCAGCGAGTCCGTCAAATATGTCCACGCATCACACATACTCTTCATTTGTGTAAATAAGATTAGCCATGGCTTGATAACCCATAGCACAGGGGTCTCCAACCTTTTTTATAGCATGGACCAGTTTTGACAGTATTCTCACTGCAAGGAGGGGGGGTTCTTGGGAGGATCGGAACAAATTACGCCTCAAATTACGTCTCTATTTCAACTGCATGCAACAACAAACTAAAACAAAACATTACAACTTGCCATAATAATCAATGGGAGCACTGGGCTTTTTTCCCTGCAATAAAACGATCCCAGCGAAGAGGGATGGGTGACCGTGAGACTTGAAGCGTATTGCAGATGGCCAGCCTGCTCCGTAACTTTGTTTCAGTGGCTGTGAGCACAAAAAAAAAACAGTTAGAAAAGGAAGTAAACACTTCGGAGCTTTCTCAGCTATCTCTGAATATTCTGTCTTTGTTTTAATGATTTGCGATCTCAATGAACTGATGCTCTTTACGCACTGGCATGGATGATTTGCGGGGCACGTTTGCAAATGGATCATAGACCTATTCCTTATCAGTTCTTAGATCATTTGCATTTGGGAAGTAGCGCTCAGACTCAGCTGACAGCAAAGCTATGTGATCACAGATCAGCTGGGAGTGAGAAGGCCCAGGTTCTTTCTTTCCCCAAAGGGGACAATGTTGACAATATTGGAAACATGTCGAATGTGCCCTTTGGCACTCGCTGTCCCCACTGTTGCAACTTGGCTTTGAATGCAGACACTTTGTCTGCCAATTTGAAAACAGTTGTCATTCTCCCATGCAGTGACAAATTAATTATATACAAAATTAATTATATATTGTACATAAAACAATAATATTGCATTGTTGTCAACATAGGTCAATTCATCAGCCTGCAGTGCATACCCTGGCAACTCATTAACCCTTTCTAACATTTGCTCTTCAATGTCCTCTGCGATATCATCAGTTTGTTAGCTGAAAGCGGAATCTGGCCTACCTTGTTAGCTGCAGCTTCGCCAAACATTTCATGGCAAATATCTTTTGCAGCTGGCAAAAACAGTTCTTCCCTGATGGTGAAGGGCTTCTTAGCTTTAGCGATACGGTCAGCCACCAAGTATGATGCTCTCAGTGCAGCTACACTTACAGATGTGGTTATTTTAACAGATGCTGTTGCTCCATTTTTTAACACTTTTTTTCCCCGTTCAAAATAATCCAATGGTTTGTATCTCAATGCTGGGTGTTTAGTTCCAAGATGCCGTAGCAGTTTTGAGAGCATCATTGACTCTAATTTTTCTCCACAAATTATACACATGGGATTTGGAGCATGTGAATTGTGAAAAGAGACGAAACCATGTTTTAGAGATGAATAATCATATTTTCGGTTAAAGGCACTATGTAAGATTTTTTTATTAAAATATCCAAAAACCACTAGAACAGTGTTATATATTTTGCTGACTTGTGTACTTATATTATCCCAAATGTTTCGAAGAATGTTTAAATCCAGAGAAATAAGCAATTTTAACTAGTGACACGGACCGTGTCAATAGTGTCATTGTGTCGCCTGCCAATGCCGTAATAACCCCTCGATTTCCGGGGCGTAATGAAACTACGCCTTTGCCTCTTTGTTTATTTTGAATACGTGCCCTCTAGCGGCGAAAATTACATATTGTGCCTTTAAAGGCGGCTTTATTTTTTCCCTTTTTCTTACCAGCAGCTGTTTCTTCATTGTCGTTATCATTTGTTCTTTTCTTACCTCCTTCACTAAAGAAACTTTCGAGAGATGTTTGTTTCCCACGCATGTTAATATTAGCTGAAACTTAAAGTGTGGAACCAACGTTTTTCTAAAATCGTGCCCATAAATTTGGATATTGGCTCTTAAAGGGGAAACGCACAATAAATAATACAGTGGTATTGCTAGGGTTGTAACAGTATGAGATTTTCACGGTATGATAATCGTTTTAGAAAATATCACGGTATATATTAACCAATCATTCTTATCAGTAAAAATTACTCTTAAAAGAACAAGAACAAGTTATTTGAGTGAACAAATTCTTTATTACAACAAACTTGAAACCATTTTAATGAAAGTATTGAAGTCTCCCTTCTGAAAAAATAAATAAAAAAAACAATAAAAAAAATAAAGCTGTACACCTTATGTATATCTATATCACACTTTAACATTTTAATTAATGTTTTTAAATGAAAATTTACAACAACTTTTATTTTTGGCAAAGTTAAAACATGAACAAACATGATATTCCTTGAAAACAATGTTTAAATACATTATTTTATTATAAAGAATATTATTATTGTTGTTATTATAACTTTGAAGTACATTGTACAATGCTAATATATTTCTTTCATAATTTCAAATTAAATCGAACTTTTAAATTTTGACGAGTTGTAGCGGAGTTTCAGAGTGTATTTGACAATGGTTTTTCTCAAATAAAACTAGGAAATGTTTATTTACGTTTTCTCTCAGAGCAGCTCTGCTGATGTTCATGTTTATGTATCTTAGATGCTGAAAAAAACATTTATGTATGCGTACTTCAGTATGCAGTAGATAAAACGGCGCCACTCAGAGACATGCAGAAACAAGCAGATTATTCATATAGCAGTCTCTTTGCGCTTTAATATTCACAGACACATATCATAACTACTTTCGATTTATCCATCGATCAGACTGCGCGTTTTACGTGACATCCTCGTTATACTGTAAATTCCATGTTCACGACTGCACGATTCCCTCTGCTTCACGGAAATCATACCGCCTTAACTTATAACTTGTTATTAATGCGACATACCTTTATCTGCACGGAGGGATGGTGTCTGTGAATATGAGCGAAGATGTTGGATGTATTGCCTGCTTTTGCAGCCACTTTGCGTCCACATTTTTTGCAAATTGGATACGTCCTCAAAGACAACCCCGCATTCTTTTTTTTTTTAATATCCAAAGTATTCCCATACTGCAGATATTAACTTTTTTTTCGGCGGGGATGGAGATTAGATATTATCTCTGTCTCTGTAATTTTCTCCGCTGCACGTGCGTGTAACATTTAGCAGCCAAGTGAATGCAGAGTGAAGCAGCCGAGTGGAAATAAGTTGCATGTGCTCGGGTGAGATTTTTTTTTTCTCATTCATTTTATTTTAAACCGTAGATATGCAAATGTTTACGGTATGATAACCGTGCGCGTTCAAACCGTGATAAACCGTCATACCGGTATATCGTTACAACACTAGGTATTGCATATAGCTTAGAGTCATTTTGCGTTCTTGCGGCCCGGTAGCAGCTCTTTCACTGCCTGGTACTGGGTCGCAACCCAGGGGTTGGGGACCTCTGCCATAGCGGACCAAGCTGGAACTTACTAAACACCATGCCACGGATTTGACATCATGACAGCATTACTAATGAAGGGCCAGTGTGTTTATTTTCATAGCAGCAATTATGTTTAGTGTCAGCACCATAGATATAAACACCTAGATGGCACATTAGCAACTATTTCTAATTACAGTGATACGTCTGCATGTCTGCCATATTGGAAAGGTCAAGATCTGCTTGTAATTGCAAGGAAGTGAATGTCAGACAGATGACAGGTGTGCTTTGCAACAGGCTGTAACAGTCCCTTCTTACCGATTTTCACAGGATTTGGTTTGTCATAAATGTCAGATGATTCTGCATATTGTTGACGATGTTACATTCAGAAGGAAAGAGTATTGGTAAAGTGCTCTTCATCAATGATCTGGAACAACAGTCTGGTTGCTTGAACCTTTTAATGAAATAAGGTTGTAAACCATAAATGAACCCAACAATTGAAAAACAATCAAACATATTATTTCATATATAGTAAATGTGCATTAAAAACAGTATCATAGTTTCCCACAGTATTTTGTGAGACTGTGGTGGGTGGACCTTAGACCCTCTAGCGTCTAGGGATAAACCAAAGCATTTAATAATAATAAATGGCACAAAGCACAGCCCTTTAATGCTATTATGAGAAATTTAAAAATATTTTCAGTTCAGGCAGGCTGGACAGATTTAGGTAACAGGTTTCCTAGAAAAACATAGATTGTTTGTAACATTGTGATTGTGATTTACTCTCCAAACCATAAACTATACTTATAGCAATATAATAGCAAGAGTGTTGCTCAGCATGGTTTAAAACAACAGTTAAACTGCAAGTGTGATATTGCTTTTATACAACACTTCTGTAAACAAGATATTAATACTGTCTTATGTTTCTGCCATAGCATCAATCTTTAAATGTTGCCAAGCAACAAACAGACTGGAACAGAGTAAGTGAGTGGACTTGAGTAACAAAGAAAATTCCCGCTCTCCACTCACTTGGGAGTGAAACCCTGATCTGAATTATCCTGAAGCAATAGAAAACACTGTGACTTCACACATGTCTGAAAAAAACTTGTGAGCTAAAGTTAATACAGAGTTAAAAAATAACTCTACTTATGCTGCTCACATACTCAAGTTGGTAATGCTACACAAAATATAAGCAGAGTGATGCAAACATTGAATCATTCCAGTGCTATTGTACTCCAAATATGCACTAAAGCACTAAATATATGGCAGACCACCTATCAAATTACACACCTAGAACTGTTAATCACATTCAATCATGTTATGGCTGTGAAAAAGGACCATAGCGTTCTTGGTCGGGCACATACTTACTGATACATCACACATATAAATGGTTAATCTGATAGTATTTATAAGCGTATAAAAATACAGTATAATTAACTATTTATGATAGACTGTGGATTTTATATACACAACACTGTAAAAAATTACCTGTAAATTTTACAGTAAAATACTGGCAGCAGGGTTGCCAGCCGGTTACTGTAATATTTACAGCAGTGTTGCTGTAATTTAATTTACAGCATGTCCCTGTATTTCTTGATTGCAGTAAATAACTTTTTTAACAAAATTGCTGTATTTTTTACAGTAAACTACTTTAATGTGTGTATGCTGTGATATTAATGAATATTAATGACTAGCAGGTCAATTTTAAATTTAAACTATTCATTAACTGCATAAGCTTTAAACAACATTTAACTGCATAAAGTGTTGTATGATGCATAAATTAATTCACCTGTTATTTAACAAAACAAAAAAATTGACACTTCTTAAACAGGTCAAAATTTATTTAATATATAACTTTCAAAATTGCATGAAAGAAATGTCATAAAACAGTGTATTTATTAATACTTTGAATTCCAAAATAAATTGGACATGAAATTCAATAATATTAAATGACTTGAAACATATTACCATGCATTACTTTAAAACCACAAGTTAACCAACATGGTCATAATTAAACATTTCTAAAAACATTTTTAATTTTAACATTTTTAATTTTCACCACTTCATGAGCAGTCAAATATGCCCAAACAACAAGGCCCCAAGTGAGTCGATCAAAAAAAGGAGAACAGTTCAGCTCCAGATGCTGTTCCATCCCAGGATGCAAAGGGTGGCTAGAAATATAAAAAATAACAAAGAGGACAATATATAAGATATATTACAAAACATAATAATACAGTCAGAAACAGACAGAGGAATGACAGATACAGTCAGAGACCGAAAAAGGGATGACAGGTACAGTCAAATAAAGATAGAGAATAATAAAAGAAAAGAAAAAAGATCTTGGGGTGTGTACTACTTACATTTCAGAAATTCCACTGAAAACTCTTCACTTTGCAAAGAAGAGTGGCAACATGTGGGTTCACGTCAAGCTGTTTCTTCTGCACCATTTGCCCTTTTGTTTTCGAACCTTTCAACTTCTTTGTTCCTCTCTCTGGATTTATTACCAACAAAGCATCTAAAGGATCGGACAGACAACATACAATATGTAATTCACATTGGTTTTAGGGTTTGAGGCATGCAATCATGTTTTTGAAATCTGAAATATATATGTACATCTACCAGTCAAAAGCTTTTGGACAGCAAGATTTTTAAAGGTGCCATAGAATGCATTGATACAATATTTTAAATTGTTCTCTGATGTCCCCAGAGTGTGTATGTGAAGTTTTATCTCAAAATGCCCCACAGATAATTTTTTATAGCTTGTTGAAATTGCCACTTTTAGGGTATGAGCCAAAACGCGCTGTTTTTTGTGTTTGTCCCCTTTAAATGAAAATGAGCTGGTGCTCCCGCCTCCCTTTTCAGAAGAGTGCAGAGCTTTAAGCACTCATGCTCGCGGGCATACCGGTGTTACGGTTTAACTGGTGGTGACCGTGTTACTGATCCTCACATTGCTTCCAGATGCCATTTTTAACTACCACATTCCTATTTACGATCATTCTGGTAGCACGTGAAGGCAGCATTAGTGAAAACAGGCAGAGACAATGGTAGCTTTAGCAACATTAGCCTTACAGAGAGCCAAGAAGCTCTTTTGGAAAACAAAATATGAGGTGTGATTATTGATCACGCCTCAGAGGCTTACTTTGGCTTACTTTGTCTGGAGTCTGGACGTTTGCGCACGAAGCGTTGGTATCGATCCCTCTTTCAGAAGAAATCTTTGCACAACTCCAGTGCTGAACTGACCCTCTTTTGTGAGGCAGTCCGGCGTAAAATGTTAGCACAAACGTATAGGACTTTTCCGTTTTTTTTCCGGGACATTTACCTTCGAAAATGAAATTTAACCACCGTGTCCTCAGCGGTCTATGGAGACTCCTATGTTCGTTGGTGCATCCCAACA